AAGATGGCTACTAAGTGGCTAATGGGCAGGTAGCGTATACAGCGTGGATCCACTGGACAAAGGGATGATTTGCATCTTGGGATGGAGCAGGATGGCACGAGATTTCATCATGCTACTCAGAAGGAGTGCAGTTTGAAACTTATGAATTGTTTATTTCTGGAATTTTCCATTTAATATCTTTGGACTCCAGTTGAACTTGGGTAACTGAAACCAAGGAAAGGGCAACCTTGGATAAGGGGAGGCTGCTGTACAATACATTTCAGTTACTCTGCTCGGCCTGTCTCCAGGCCCTTCCAGCCAATGGATGACCGTAGAGTGGGTTTGTTATTTTTTCTTGGGAATAAAAAGGCTTTAGCTTGTAAACTTTTAGCCTAACTATTATATGAAAATATTAGTCTTTTAAATCTCTAAAAAGGTGGTAGTTAAGAATGCATTATTATTGTTTTAATTTGATCATTGTAAGATTGAGCATCTTACCATATGGTTCAGTGGCCATGGATATTTCTTCTTCTGTGAATAGCCTGATCCTCTTCATCATTATATATATTTTTTATGTTGGCTATTTTGTCTTTCATTATAATAAGTTGTTACTATTAATTTCTAGTTATTTTCTTTGATTGCTATTACCTGTTACAAATATTTCTTTCAGCTTGTTGGTTTGCTTTTTGATTCTGATTATGGTGCATTTTGCTACACAGTACTTTAAATTTATATGTGGTTAAATTTAACTTTTTTAGTCTTTGTTTTCTGACTTCTGGGTTCCTTGTTTTGCTCAGGAAATCCCCTTACTTCCAAGGTTATAAGAACTATGTTCTTATAATTTTATTCTAGTAACTTTCCTCCTTCCTTCCTTCTTTCCTTTCTTTCTTTCAATATTGAAGCCTTTAAACGATCTAGAACTTAGTTTTTGTTTCTGTTATGAGTTCAGAATCACATTTTCTATTCTCTGATATTGGTCCCTAATTTTCTTAGAGCACTTAATCCTGGCTCAGTAAATTGTACCCATTGACATTTTCTTTACTAGATCTTTTCTTTCCTAGCATTTATCTCAGGGCATAGATTCAAGGAGGCTATTAATCTGCCTTTCTCCAAAGCCCTCCTACCTGGCTTCCCCCTGACCTGCATCAGTCATCCTGCCTCCTTCTCTGTTCTCCAACTTTCAGTGTTCTCTAAATCAGTTTCCATATTTGCTTTCATTAATCTCTTTCCTTTAGAGCAGGGATCAGCAAACTTTTTCAGTAAAGGGCCAGATAATAAGTATTTTAGACTTTGCATCTACTCAACTGTGCCTTTGTAGTACAAAAGCAGCCATAGACGATAAGTTAGGAATGAGTGTGGCTTTATTCCAATAAAACCTTACTTCTGGACAGTGAAATTTGAATTTCATATGATTTTCACATGTCAAAAATTATATTCTTGTTTGGGTTTCTCCCCAACTATTTATAAAATGCAAAAGCCAGTCTTAGTTCATGGGCCATATAAAAACAAGTGGTGTGCCAAATTGGGCCCTCAGGTTGTAGTTTACTGACCTCCACCCTAGAGCCACCAGTGACGGCTTCTTTGCTTCCATCGGTCCTGGATTCTCCCTTTTAAAAAAGGAGCCATAGGTCTTAGGCACACAGCTCCAAGCAGCCCTTTCTTCTTTAAACAAATATTAGTGTACACAGTAATGTATTTAAAACAACATATTTCAGTTATTCAAGCCCTCTATTTCTGGGAATAACTCACAATCAGTAGCTGACTTTAGAGTTTTGTTTTCAGTGGGTTTACACTGTTCCCTTGTTCAATTTAGTGTAAATATTGTATGAAAATATTTTCTTTCGGAAAGGGGATATCTATTCCACTATGAATAACTGTTAAAACATTTTAATTTCTTCACAGCCTTATAGACTACTATTGCAAGATTGTTTTGGTATAAAAAATATTTTTCTGGGAGCATAATTGTTGTCCTCAGAAAAAGGTTTTGTCTTGGCCATTATAATTATTTTTGTAAAATACCTCATGTGCATTAAAACACTTGAAATTGTTTGCCTCTGATTATCTGTGGCTCTGCCACAAGAATCCCAAGTTTAGTGATGAAAGTCATAGCTTAATGATCTTTGGGACCATCATCTTAATAAAAAACAACACAGATTTATCCATTATCTTACAGGCTACAAATTACTTCCATAAAGACTGTCTTTTCAAATTTCTTTAAAATAAATAAATAAAACATATTTACAACATTAAAACCAGAAAATGTTGAGATTTTAATTGATTATTCCTTACCACTCGCCCAACTGTACAATTTGGGGGATGGGAAAACAAAAACTGTGATGTTTAAACTAAATACCAAGTGGTTTTTAGATAAATTGTGTAGCAGTGAAAAATGTGTTATTCATCAACTCTTAGGAGGAAGCTTCTTAACAGGGCCAGAAGAGGGAAAGGGAGCTGGCGTTGACTGAGTTCCTACTTTGCATCAGTTTAATCTTAGAGCCCTGCAAGGGAGCAGTTGTCATGCCTTTGTTCAAAAGAAGCATCTTAGGCCACGAAGGTTCTAGTAATTTCCCCAAGGTAGCCCAGCGTGTTAAAGATGGAGTCCAGATTTGAACCCAAAGGCCTGTTTCCACATCTGCTTTTCCTCTTGAAGATTTAGCTTGAAAAGAATAAGCTTTTGACGTGGTCAGTTTATATGAACATTTATGTATGTCTCTTACACTCTTATGTAGGCATATAGACACACATTGAAACAACTGAAAACTTTATTTAGGAAAAAAAAAATCCTGGGGCTTATCCCATGGTGCAGCGGTAAAGTTGGCACATTCGTTTCCGTGGCCTGAGGTTCGCTGGTTTGGATCCCAGATGTGGACCAATGCATCGCTTGTGAAGGCACGCTGTGGCAGGTGTCCCACATATAAAAAAAAAGTAGAGGAATGTGGGCATGGATATTAGCTCAGGGCCAGTCTTCCTCAGCAAAAAGAGGAAGATTGGCAGCAGATGTTAGCTGAGGGCTAATCTTCCTCAAAAAAAAAAAAAAAAAAATCCTGTTAATTGAATATTTATTACTTTTTTCTAGAAGAGTAGAAATGGCTTTCTGTTCTGTCATTATGTTTTCCCTTAGCAAAACAAATTCACTTACAAAATTATGTCATTTGGACAATATCATTTGTGTTAGGATTTCTTTTTCTTTCTTTCACCTTTGTCTGATTAGCTCTAGATATTAGTCTTTAATATTTGTTGGGGCAGCCTTCCTGGAGTCCACTGTGTGACAAATATCAGATAGCAATTCAAGTGTCAGGATTCTAAATTCTAAAATTTTAACTCCACCAAAATATCCTGCGTAAGCACACTATTTTTCCTTTCCTCTCGGCTTCCTTCACACCTCCTCCTGCACACATTTATCCTTCCCCTTGGCACACTCCCTGAACTTTAAACAGAAAGTGGGGCAGGTGATAATGGAATAACTATTTGCTTTAATAGTATTTAAAGAGTTTAGCTTTCAGATATTTTGGGCTTCTTTAGACATGTGTTCTCTTAAAAGGAACTTCCATAGAATCTAGTAAAATTAGTCAAACAGGCTCCTCTTTAATCATAAAATTTACTATCCAAGCCTGTACTATTACTTGGGTATTATAACCAGTTTGCAAACTTTTTTTTCTTCAATATATCTTGGTTGTAAATTCTCAAGATACTTATAATATTATGAGAAAAGGGCAACTAAAATAATGTGGAATAGATGAAGTATTATTGAAAAACAAAAGAAAACTATAAATGCTCTAATCTAAAAATTAAAAGGCTAAAAGGGGCTGAATATGCAGTTTCTGAAGTCATTAATCATTTTGACAAGCAATCATGATCTTCTTCACTGAAATCTGGGGTTCTAGAATGTGATATTACTTTGAATTGTAGAAATAAATTTAGTGCAAATAAATTTGAGTTGAAGAGATGTTTTACTTAGAAATATGTTTGTGAGTCACGGAGAACTGAAAGTAACAGTAGTTTAAACAAGACAAGAGTTTATTTTTCTCCCAAGAGATCAGAGGCAGCCAGCTCAAGCCTAGTCTGGCACTTCCACAATCATCAGGCTCTTTCTTGCTTGTAGTTCTGTCTTTCTTAATATGGCATCCTGCAGCCCAAGATAGCTTCTCAAGCTCCAGCCATCACTTCTGCCTTGTAGTCCTCAGGAAGGAGAAAGTGGAACAAGGACAATTCCTGAAAGTGATACATGACACTTCTACCTAAATTTCATGGATCAAAACTCAGTCTTCTAAGGGGCTGGCCTGGTGGTGCAGTGGTTAAGTGCACATGTTCAGCTTTGGCGGCCCAGGGTTCACCAATTCAGATCCTGGGTGTGGACATGGCACCGCTTGGCACGCCATGCTATGGCAGGCGTCCCACATATAAAGTAGAGGAAGATGGGCATGGATGTTAGCTCAGGGCCAGGCTTCCTCAGAAAAAAGAGGAGGATTGACGGCGGATATTAGCTCAGGGCTATTGTTCCTCAAACAAACAAACAAAATGTAGTCATCTAAAATGGGGGCAGTTTCCGTTTGGGAGGATGAAAAAGTTCTGGAGATGGGTGGTGGTGATAGTTGTGCAACAATGTGAATGTCTTTACTGCCACTGAACTGTACACTTAAAAATGGTTAAAATGGTATATTTTATGTTATGAGTGTTTTACAAAGAACAAATGTAGTCATCTAGAAGAAGGGGAGGCTGGGAAGTGTGGATTTTATTCTGGAAAGCTATTGCCTTCCTAAAAATCTGAGGTTCCATTGCTAATGAAGAAAAGGAGGGTAAATACTGGCAATAACTAGCAGTCTTTGAAACATTTGTGATGGCCAAAAATATAAAGAGCAAAGAACAAACAAGAGATGCAGCAAGTCATGTGTGACCTATGGAGTGAACTGATAAGGGAAAATATGGATTAATCATAATCATACCTTTGCTAGGGGCAAAAAAAATCAGTCAGACCAAGCTTTGATGTCTAATCCAGAATTCTTATGCTCCTGTTTGATCAGTGGCATCGCCAAAGCATGGAATCAGGCATATTTTGGGGAAGGATCTGGCCCAGTAATGTTGGATGAAGTCCGCTGCACCGGGAATGAACTCTCTATTGAGCAGTGTCCAAAGAGTTCCTGGGGCGAGCATAACTGTGGCCATAAGGAAGATGCTGGAGTGTCTTGCACCCCTCTAACAGGTAAGAATTTCCCCCAGTCACCTACCAACTCTTGCCCCCAGCACCATTTGGGCTTACCTTTTCTTCTCTTCAACTTATATAATATTGCTAAATGAGCACACAAATAAATCCCCCAAATAAAACTAAACAAAAAAACTAACACAAATCATATATTAAAATGCTATCTTGGGGCCAGCCTGGTGGTGTGGTGGTTAAATTTGTGCACTCCACTTTGGCGGCTCAGGGTTCATGGGTTTAGATCCTGGGCGTAGACCTATACACTGCTCATCCAGCCATGCTGTGGTGGCGTCCCACATACAAAACGAAAGACGACTGGCACAGAAGTTAACCCAGGGACAATCTTCCTCAAGCAAAAAGAGGAGGATTGGCAACAGATGTTAGCTCAGGGCCAATCTTCTTCACCAAAAAAATGCTATCTTTTTCTTCATAGATATCTCTGAATTTTTTAATTTAAGGCTATACAACTCTGTAAAACTAGATTAGAAAATATGACTTTGTTGCAATATACAGTCCCCAATAATCAAAATTAGCATGCAATGATACATTTCAGATATTAGGTATTATAATTATATGTTTAGTACATTCATCTATTAACCTGTCTTGACTCTCAGAATGTGTTTATAGCTGGTAAACTGTTGATGGGATTGTTGACTAAAGGACACTATTAAAGAAACCAAGTCAACTTTGTTATGCTCGGTTTTCAGACTACTCCGGATCACAGCATGCTTGTCAGGATACATCATGTGTTCTAAGAAAGGCATGTCTGAGAGCAGACGAGTGTGTGTGTGTATATACTTACTTATTTTGGAGGATGAAGAGGGATATGGACAGGCAAGAGAAGTTGGGTCATCACAAGTCCATTGTTTCTATAGTAAAAAGAACTTGAAGAAAAAAATTAGGGATTTCAGTCTTTCTTTAAAAAAAATCAAAAGAACAACTTACAGCTTATGAAATGCTGAAGTTTCACCTTTTTATTTACATAGTTCTATACGTGCTGTTGGTTTTATTAGCAGAATAACACAATTATGCACAGTAGAAGTGCTATAAAATTTATGCCAGATTTGAAGCCAGAGCACTCCATCTTCTTGAGCCTGCATTTCCTCCTCTTTCAAATGAGGATAGTCTTGTAGTGTTGCTGTGATGGTCACAGGAGGTAATATGTGTAACAGTGCTTTACAGACAGTAAAGTATTACATTCATAAGTAATTCTGTTGCTAAGAGACCTTCGTTTATTTTAAGAGATCCCAGACATTCATGAAAAGTAGGACCTTTACCCAAGATTCTTTGTGTTTTTTGTTTGGGGGGATGTTTGGATTATTTTGGATGGAAACAGCTTTTACATTTACTTTTGGGGGGATAAATTTCTCATATCTGCTTGGAAGATATTATATTCTTAGATATATAGGTATTCTTGGAAGATGCAGATATTTCTCTGTCTGCTTAGATGCTCTTTACAGGATTCTCTGGCAGTTTATTTATTGAATTCATATGATTCAAATTCAGATCTGTATTATCAATAAAAGAACAAAGGTGGGACATGTACCCCAGTTTTTTAAATTTATGAAGCCTGAGGAATAATAAACGCATTGACATATAGATCACTCTTTAACCAGAACAGCTTTTTCTGTCTTCGTATTTCAATATTTTTTCACTTGCAGTTAAAATTTTGAACTATTTCCAAGTTAGTATGTTTTCTTAGTTTTTAAATTTAAATGACTGGTATTGCTCAGACTTAAGGAGATTGAAATTAAAGGAAATTTCCAAAATATTATTTAATTCAGAGAAATCTAAACAGCTACTTTGGAATTATATCAGAATAGATTTTTCTACTCAGAAAACAGGAGTACAGATAAAAAAAGAAAGAATATTTTGTCAGGACAGATGTGCATTCTGTCATTCTTCAGAAACAAGCTATTGACCTCAGGTCACTGAGCACAGTCCTAAAATAAGTTTAACAAAATGCTTAGACCCAAATAGGGTGATATTTCTAGTGAAATTAGATTAGATTTGACAATTGATTTGCTTGGTCTCTGTGTCTCCTTCTTATCACAGATGGAGTCATCCGACTTGCAGGTGGAAAAGGCAGCCATGAAGGTCGCCTGGAGGTGTATTACAGGGGACAGTGGGGGACTGTCTGTGACGACGGGTGGACCGAGCTGAATACCTATGTGGTTTGCCGGCAGCTGGGATTTAAGTAAGGTCCATGGATATGAGGCGGCAAATGCCAAATTATATTTTTAAAAGTTTCATTTTGTAACCCTCACTTGTAATTTCTATAATACTAAAAACACACGTTCTCTGTCATCAATTTACTTGTCTCCTCTACCTACCTACCTTTCTATATATGGACGTACAAGAATGAAAAACAGTCACATTTTCTAGGATCATCTCTTCCCACTTATCTCATTTACCTTTCCTTCCACCACTCTTCCTGAATAATTGGTTGGAGCCATGGGTGACCTTTGGGTCACTTTGTGTCTATTCAAGTAAGGCTGTACCCTCTGAATGCTCGGTGTTATTCTGACGCATCGCTACTATTGGATGTTGTTAGTTCTGACATCATTGTGTCTGCAACTGCAGAGAAGTCCAGTGTCAAATGCTTTGTTGTTACATTATTCCCTTTCTCAGAATGTGATGATAATTATCACTTTTATTTGAGAAAAAAGACTTCTTGTCATGAGACGACCTTTAGCACTCACCCTTGACCTCACTCTCTTCAAGGCTGAGTATCACACTTAGGGCAATACATTTCATGTCACACACATAATGCATTCCAGAGTAGAGACTTAAGTTGGTTGAAGTAACTGCAAATGATCCTTTTGAGCTAATATTTGAATGAGGCCATTAATGCCTATTCTTTCTTGTTTTCCATGTTTCTATGTCATACTTGAAGTAATTGTCTCATGCTTGAAAAAATTGGCAAAATTATTTTATTTCAGCTTGTGATGGAGCTAATTGCTAATATTCATTAAACTCTAAAAATATACTTTCATTCAACCTAGGTATGGCCATGTTTAAGATATATATTTTTAAATTTGTAAAAGTAATCTTAAATATTTTAGAGAAAGTTTGGAAAATAAAGAAAATAAAAACTATCCATAATTTTTCCATTTTTACACCATCATTATTATAACTTGTGTATATAACTTTATAACATATCTAGTATTGGATATATAATTTTTGTATCCACATTTTTTAATCTTCATTTTACAACATAGTCATAATTTTTAATGATAAAATAATATCCATTGGCTGTTCATACTATAATTTACTTAATATTTAGGTTAGTTTAATTTTTATTGTTATAAAAAGTGATATCATGAAGATATAAATTGCCCAATATTTTGAATTTTCTTGGGCAGTGACATTATTATAATTTCAGGTCAAGGGGTATGACATACCAGTCAAATAAATATTGATATTTATTTAATAAGAATTACTTAATAAATACTATTTCATCTTTAAGTGAATCTCTGTTAGACTGAGAACTGAATCCTGTTTTCACAGATTTAGAAAGACTCATAAATACTATTATTTACTATTTTCATATGTTTCCTTATTAATGAAAACAATTGAGTGACAATGATTTTTTTCTTCATATTTTAATTATTTTCTTTCACAAATACATTCAGTTTTTTCTGCATATACAGAGCATCAGAACTTAATGGTTCTAAAAATGTTCTCAATAATATTTGTTAAAACTTCTAGATGATTATATTAGGAGGTAGAATAGGCATGTGCTACATTTACTTTTAAGTTTACAGAGGAATTTCTGAAAGAGAATACTCTTTTGGAATGAGAAAGAGCCTGAACTCTGGGTTTCTTTGTATGAATGATGTCCCAAAGTAAAATGACCTCCTGTTGTCTGTTCTGTAGTTGATATGGACAAATGGTAATGCGCTGATGCATTTTGTGGAAAAATGATATAAGTTGAAAGTGATAGCAATATGGGATTTAGGTTATTTACTTTTCTAGCTAAGACTTGAGTAGTCAGCAAAATAGCAGAAGTCTTAGAATGATTAATTAAAAGTTGCAGTGTTTTAATTTTTTTAAATGTTCATCTTGTTAAATAAATTTAATAAATAAGTACGTAGGAAAATTCATGCCAGACAGAAAGATCTCATATTCTTAGTACAGAAATAATAAAAACATCCAGTGAGGCAAGTGATTGACATAAAACTTATGAATAAGAGCTTAATTACATAGCCTCCTGGAACTGAGAGACACCTTAAAGATCTTTCAGCTCGGGAACTTCTGGAGGTTTGGATTTTGTAGAACAAAAGAAAACTAAATTGGGAGGAGGATGAATGAAGGTGCAGACACTTAGTTACTAATTTTTTGTTTTGCAGATCTTTCATATTTATACAGCATCCATATTTATTATAACATATTTAGTTTTTTCATAGTGCAGAGTAACAAAGTCAACTGGAACACAAACATAATTTGTAATTTTAAAAATCAAATTTATGTAACCTTATGAAAAGCGAAGAGCATCATCATTATTCTGATTTTGATGGGCTGAAATCTAAGTTTCATTATGGATCGGGTACGGTGCTTGAGGAATCACTGAACTAATTCACACTTTTTACTTTGGAGGAGAGGATCCAAAGAGGGCTAGAGAAGCTGGTGAATCCAAATGAGCTCAGTGGGTCATCAGAGGCGGATGGAGGACCAGAGTTCTCATTTTCTGGTTCACAGTGTTATTTCCATGGTCAGGAATTTGAGGTTAATCTTTTTGTCTGCATTTTCTCTGGTGGTGAGTTAAATTGTAGACAAACTGTAGACAAGAATGGATGGGGAAAAAGGATTAATCATCCATTAGTTACCCATTGAATCAATCAAAACTTGTTAAGATGACCAAAATGTGTGATAGAGCCGACAGCGCTCTTAGAATGAGTCTTCAAAATAGGAGAAAGGACAAATGCTTATCCTCTGACACAATGACACTTAATTAGGTTGTTTGTTTTATGGTTTCTTGAAACAAGGAACAGCAGTTCTATGCATGATGTTTATTTATTGCCACAGATATGGCAAACAAGCCTCTGCAAACCACTTTGAAGGAAGTCCAGGGCCCATATGGTTGGATGACGTCAGCTGCTCAGGAAAGGAGACCAGTTTCCTTGAGTGTTCCAGGAGACCGTGGGGCAGGCACGACTGCAGCCATCGGGAAGATGTAGGCATTGCCTGCCACCCCAGCGGCCCTGGACGTGGACTTTCTCTGGGTGAGGACCGGCCACAGCTCTCAAGTTCCCATAAGTCGGTAGCCACTGCACCTCTGGTCACTGGCCCAGAATGTGAAGCATTTCTCATCTTTGGCTTTTTTTAGTTGATTTCCCATAATGCTCTAATTTTCAGTAATTTGCATTCAGAGAAAAATGATCTTCAAGTCTTTCCACTGTTATAAAATTTCTATCCCCAAAGTTATTTTTCTTCACCTAGAAGCCTAAGTTTCTCACTAAAAATCTTTATAATCATGTGTATCTGAAAGATGAAATAAAGAAGCTGCGAGGTCCATTCTCCTACTCGTTAGTTATTCCCCTGCTCACCTAGAATAAGTCTTGTTTACCTTGAATTCTAATGAACTATCGAGACAGGATTTTTTAAAAAAGCAAAAACAGAAGAAAACAATAGCTCTCGCCCCAACCCTTATGATTCATTTCCCCTTTAGTCCTGAAGGCTTGTCAATCATTGGTCACCAGTCGTCTATTGCTCTTTCCTAACCTAGATCTTTCAAGTTTCTCAGTGGGCTCCTAAATGGATTTGTTGGAGTAAATAGCCCACTGACCTGAGGTACCCTGTAACTCTAGAAACCCATCAAGGATTTTAACTAGTCTTCAGTTCCAAATTTTTTCAGACTTGTAGTGGATAAAAGGTAACTAGCTCATCTAACAGTCTTGAAATATTTATGGATAAAGATCCTCTCATGAGCAGAAGGCAGCTACATATCCTTGACAGACTCAATGTCTGGTGAGGAGGACAGAATAAATATGAATGAAAAATATAGATAGAGATATTCAAAAAGACTTCGAAGGACACTATCACAGCTCTATTGTATATTTATACATATATTTTTTGGTGAACAGATGTTAAAATAACCAGAAGTGATCCTTACTTTTCACCTCAGGGTTGAATCAACCCCTTTCATATTGTCCTGTTTTGGGACTGTGAAGCTTACATCTTCACGTCATAAAATAACAGAACTTGTTGAATCCTACAGTATTAACTGGATAGTTTGTCAAAGTATATGGTTGATTCCTCATTGTACTCTAAACTGTGAGATCATAGTGACTCACTGCACTGATCTAGAAATACAACATTCACTACATCCCTTATAGGTTGTATTTCCAATTTTGTTTCTTTTCATTTGTTCTCCTCCTTTGCTCTCTTCTTATGCAGGATTTAGGATCTTCCCAGGATTATTATGTGATGAACGATGGCAAGTGGTTGGGGGAGATAGATCCTGTTTGCTAGAAATGGATGCTCTTAGCCCCAGAGAGCAGGTCTTTGGATCATGGAGTGATCCATTCAGGCACGCTCCATCAGTATCCAGGTGGCGAAATACTATAAATGCTATACAAAATATTATAATCTGAGTTCCCTGAAGGCCTTGTGGTTAAATATATCCATATGGTTAGGACAACTAATCTTTTCATTTCCCATGAAAATCTTGTTAATTGTAGGATTCTAGATATATTTTTTAAAAATTTAAAAAGCTGAGGGTGATAATTATTAATAAAATATGTGATCATTATTATGAATCTCTTTGGTCCTAATTTTGGTAGTATGCCTATTAACTATTCATTTGTCCAAAGAACATTATGTCTGAGCCAAATATCCTTTTGGAATAGAATCATATTACCATTTATTCATCCAAAGAGATCATTACTTTCCCACTTATCAAAAGGACTGCATATTTAAAAGAGAAGGTTAGAGAAGGAGATCATGGAATAGTGCAATAAACAGGAGCATTTAAAGAAGACAGTTGAGATCTTTTACTTCTTTGGCACTGTGATAATGAGCATTTGGACTGTTAGTGTTTTCAGCTATCTGAAGGGTAACTTGAGGACCTTAAGTTTAGATGTGAATGAAACTGTTCTCAAAATGAGTAATAGTTCAATAGACACTTTCTATATTTGGGTCTGTGGTGGATGGATTGCTCAAAGACAATATTCCAGATCAATTAAAATAATTCTCATAGGAATGCAGTGAATCCCTAGATGAGTCAGAGGAAATTTGAGGGATGGTAAATATGTGGATTTTTCATTTTTATATTGCATCAATTCTAAAATTGAGAGTGTTAAATCCTAGCAGAAATTTCTTGCACAGTGAGATTTCTCTTACTCAATTTTACTGTATAAACTTTGACTTCTAATTTATATTTATGCTAGATATTATCTTTCTTCTCAGAAAAATGTTTTCCAAAAATAATGTATTAAATCAATGTTACAGGAAAATTAAAGAAAACTCTACTGGAACTCAAAATTTGAGACATATAATTAAAGATACTATGTACCCATAGGACTGTTAATTTTCCCAGGCATTTTATATATATTTAAGATTGTAGATATGAAACGTGTATATTATTACTGCTTTAGCAAAAAGAACTTAAACAGTAAGGTGGTATGACAGAATGGCTTTTGTCATCCACTTTACCTTCAAGCATTAAAAATCCAACGACTTTGTAAAATGAATGGCTAAAATTAGGTTCAGAAATATTGTACACATTATTTTACAAAGCATGCAGCTTAGGCTTTAAAAAGACTTCATCATTTTTATTTTTGTGGTATATGAAAAACTGCCCATAAAACACGTAAGATGGAATGTGGAGATCTAATTCCATGTGCATATGTTTTCTTAATTTTGGACCAAAGATCCAACAATGTAAAAATTGAAAACTTTAAGAAAAGATTTTCATCTGTTTGGATTTTTCTTCCCTTGAGGATCACTTTTCACCTTATTCCTTTTACAAAGAACCCCACAATTCCAGATACGTTAATAAGAAACGTAAAGTTTCAAGTATGCTGTGCTTTGTGACACAGCTAAACTCCCAAGTGTTTTTTAGTTGACTGTAAACAGCGCATAGAGTAGACGCTGCATAAACACTTGTTGATTTTGACTTTGCCATGATGATTCTACGATGATGCCTGTCCCACAAAGTGAGTATGACCAGGAGAGAAACTAGAGAGCCAACAACTCTGGGGGGGGTAACAAAGAATGATGGAGAAGTGAAATGGATCAGAAGAATGAAAGAAGCAGCAGCAGCAAACCGTGTCCATCTTGCCGACAGTATTTTCTTTCAGTTAACAAATGTCAATCTAGTAATTTCACGTTGGTTTAAACATATATAAAATGGCGTTTTGTTCATTAGCTGCCTACTCCACCTCCCTGGTTCTGATGATTTCACCATCATTCGTTGTATTCCCTAAATCCTTACCCGTAAATCTTAGGGGCCCTGAAGCTGCAGACTCTTCTGGTAACTGGGTAATCTAAAGTATGTGTATTAGTTTCCTTGGGCTGCCGTCACCAAGTGCCACACACTGGGGGCTTAAACAACAGATATTTATTGTCTCACAGTTCTGAAGTCCAAAACCAAGGTGTTGGCAGGATTGGTTCTTTCTGTAAGTTGTGAGGGAAGGGTCTGTTCCAGGCCACTCTCCTTGGCTTGCACATGGCCATCTTCTCCAGATGTCTCCTCATATAATTTTCCCTCAGTGTACCTCTGTGACCAAATTTCCCCTTCTTATAAGGACACCAGTCATATTGGATTAGGGCCCACCCTAATGACCTCACAATTCAACTCATGACAGTATGCAAGCTACTGCAAAGACTTTCAATTAAACAATACCGTATTTCTCGGTGTTGAAAGAGATACAGGAAACTCTACAAATCACTTCATTTGCATAACTTAGATTAACCTCAATTTGCTAGAGATCAGTTTCTCAACTTTTTAAAAAATCATGACATTTATTTATTTATTTATTATTTTTTATTTCCTAGCTTCAGCATTTTTTTAAATTGAGGTATAACTGACATATAACATTATACAGTTTCAGGTGTACAAAATAAAGATTTGATATTTGAGTACACTGTGAAATGATCACCACAATAAATCTAATTAACATCTGTCACCTTACATAGTTACAAATTTTTTTTTCTTGTGATGAGAAGTTTTAGGATCTACTCTGTTAGCAACTTTCAAATATGCAATAGAGTGTTATTAACTATAATCATCATGCTGTACATTACATCCCCATTCAACTTTTAAATCTTAGTAATTTTTGTGACTTAAGTCCTTCCTTTGGAATCAATAGCAAATAGGAAGCCTGAGATGGAAATTGTCCTTGTTAGCTGCCTTCCTCTTATTCCTCCGGCATTCAAGTTACCTGTGCATGCCAAGGGTATATCTACTTATGCCTTCCTAAAAAATCTTAGCTTTGGAGTGTAAATTTCTACCTATGTTAAGGATAAATAAACAGACAAAAACAACTCTGAGTAAACATCTTTTACTATTTAGAGGGTAGCAGTAATAAAACCATTCACGATTTTACAGTGCTATTCATTCATTCATTCAGCAAACAGCTATCACGTGTCCTCTGTATGCCAGGCACTGTTGCAAGTGCTAGCAAAGTTGAGCAAGTGAGCACTCTGACCGCCAGGCTTCAAAAGATATGCAACAGTAGATACAGTTTTCTGTTGATATCTCGTCTCTTTCTCTCTCATATTGACCTGCTGATTTTATAGTTGATTTAAAAAATAAATTGTGCTTTATAAAGTCTCTCATGCTTTAACGTCGGTTTGCTTGTTTTGGCTTTTCTAATACTTTTGAATCATGACTTAGGTTTTCCTATCAGACTGATGGATGGAGAAAATAAGAAAGAAGGACGAGTGGAGGTTTTTATCAATGGCCAGTGGGGAACCATTTGTGATGATGGGTGGACTGATAAGGACGCAGCTGTGATCTGCCGCCAGCTTGGCTATAAGTAAGTAAAACCTAATTTGGGATAGTTACTTGATAAATATTTCTGACTTTTTAGGCTTTTCTAGTGAGTTATTCCTTACCTAAAATTAATTTCTGTGATTCAATTGAAAATACTGGCAGCATACTGACATGATTCAGAATTATAAAGAAAAATACGAAGTAGAGTCTATTTAAGTATTTCTGTTCTCTTACAAGAAACATACATTGTGTTGCATAAGGAGTGTAGCTTTTATCTAACAGCAAATAGTCTAATAACTTGACTACTCATAACACTGCTTCTATCAGGCAGAGGTATTAACCTTTTCTCTGTGATTTCTGTTTCAACACTGTAGCCTTTTAAGAGACTCTGCAGTTATTAAAATTGTGGTTGGTTCTCCTTATTCACAGAGGTCGAGTTCTCTGAGGTCACGGTGAACACTGAGTTAGCCAATGCTGAGCCCCTGCTTCTAGGGTTGAGGTCGAACAGGGCGATACTCTGCCGCCTTCTTTTAGCTCTCATACTTGCAAACAATTGTCCTTTTTGTGGTCTATTAGTACCCCCGCCATCTTTGTGGTCTTTTGTTGATGATTTCACTGTTTAAAATGGCCCCTAGGCATAGTGTTAGCGTTCCTAAGTGCAAGGCTGTGATGTGCCTTATGGAGAAAATATGTTTGTTTAGATAGGCTTCATTCAGACATGAGTTATTGTGCGAAAAACATGGTACTAAATAGACTGGGAAAAGGACACTTGTTTGCAGTTTGAGAGCTGAAATAAAAAGACAGATAATCTTGTGAGACCTCAACTGGGCAACTCAGTCTTTTGAGGCTTTGCACATATCTACAAACGACCATGAAAGCACCGTGGGTATTGATTTTGCAGTTGCAAGTATGTGGAACATGTTACAATTGAGAGGGCTATGAAATTTAAACTAATATACATAAATTGCCTAGCTCGTAGTAGATTATTAGTAGTGGTTTGAATTTTTAAAATATATAATTAATTATACATCTATGTGTATCTTAAATATTGATAGATTTAACTAGTTATTCCTATGCAGATTACATTTTTATTTTTAAAAGTATTTCTATTTTAATAAAAGTCCAAATGCTTTATTCTAAAGTTTTAATTCAAAGTTTGTTTTTGGTTACTCAGATACTACTCCCTTTTATTGCTCAGTTTTGGACCTAGTTGCAATTCCAACAGTTTTATGGTCAATGGGTCCGTTATTTGTGATATAGATTTTCAGTATTTGAAATTGGTATGTGACATAGATTTTCAGCTTTCAAAATATGGGGTGGAAGAGCAAGGTAGGGAGAGTCTACATTAGATGCCTGGGTGAATTTAGTCAACGATTTAAGTTTCCTTTCCTCATTACATTTCTAACACTCATTCCTCCATTTGGAAAAAAATTATTGTTCTTACATTACATTCCCAGTGAATTTCCTTATCCAAAATCAGCCATTAAAGTATATTGCTGTTTGAAACTACTTTCTTGGTTATAGTTTATTTTTTGGTAGATGTGATCCAGGAAGCCTAGAATTACCTTTGGAAGTATGAAGTATTACCTTTGGAAATATGAAAGAAAGTATAAAGGGAAAGATCAAATTTGATCCTCAAATTGTGTGTCTAAGCCAAGTTTAAGAAGGAGAAAAGTTCGTAACCATATCCATCAGTGCATTTTCACTTTGATTTCTTTCTACGTTTCTTTATTGTTTTTTACTTATCATCATTTAGTCCATTTTACATTCAACTCAAATGGTGAATTTAGGTGAGAAACAATATAGATTAAGTGAACAAAGTTTGCAGCAATTTTCAATAATGTTTCTGTAACAGTTATCAAGAAAAGCTTTGAAAAAAGATTGCATTTTGTAATTGTTTTTAAAATAAAGTCTCAATGCGTAAATCAGTAATTTAATGTTATTATAACAAACTGAATAATCATCTTCTAGTGCACAATCTACAATTTACCATCAAACAGTACAATTTAAATGAGAATCATTTAGATACTAATCAATCTGAATAAAGTTTAGTGTTTTTATAATTTTACACTGAGAACATGTATTTCATATAAGAACATATATTTATATAATTATAAACAGGTATATGACCAGTGTAGGGGATCTTTTCCCCATATCTACTTCGAATTGTTAACAATCTTTAATAAAGCGTTTGTTTGTAGAAATCAATCTAGAAAACTTTTAAGCTGTTGAAAAGCTTGGGCCTTATTGATAAGAATTCCAGAGATCTGTCCCCGACCAGTTGGATCCTGCTTGAGGATTAATCCTAGGAAACACTGAGAATCGAAATTTCATCAGAAAGCATTTTCATAATGAGAGAAACAGAAATGAAGTAATAAAAGCCAGGAAACGTGAATGGTAACTAACCCAGCTATGCACAGAAAGTAAAAGCCATCATTTAATGATAGATTACATAATGTCTGATGAAGTCTAGCATATGAGTGTGTTGTTTTAAAGGGTTCAGAGAGAATATGTTGATATCAAACTCCTTAAGATAGACTAAATAGCCACGATAGAAATTCCATTCTATTGTGAATCCATTAGCATATGTTTCAATATGATGTGTTCTTGAACTTCATATATATTTTTTTTAAATTTTGGCACCTGAGGTAACAACTGTTGCCAATCTTCTTTTTTTTTTCTTTTTTTCTGCTTTTTGTCTCCAAATCCCCCAAGTACATAGTTGTATATTTTAGTTGTGGGTCGTTCTAGTTGTGGCACGTGGGATGCCGCCTCAATGTGGCCTATGAGCGGTGCCATGTCCGCGCCCAGGATCCGAACTGGCAAAACCCTGGGCCACCAAAGCAGAGTGCACGAACTTAACCACTCGGCCACGGGGCCAGCCCCTGAACTTCATATTTATTACAGTAGTGTCCCTTAAAGAATTTAAAAATTGGTGTTCCCCTACTGTTTTAGTGGAGACCTACAATTAAGTATATCTAATTTTTATATTATGTTTCAATAGCTGCAAAAGATTTAATTTCTGGCATATTTGTGTATGACATTTAAAAATAGAATAGTTAATTCATTCTTTTAATTATATCCAATGGAATATAAAGATCATAGTGATTTGACACTCTGTCATCCATTTAAATAATGCATGAACATTCTTCTTTGACTTTCAGAAATTTCACATACTTCCCTTTTCTCCTTAAAATTATATTTTAAATTTTCTTTCCCCAAAGGATCCTAATGGTATTATGCTTTAAAAAGTGTGTGTGTGTGTGTGTATACACACATGGAGACAGCACGAGAGAGAGAACGAAATTAAATTCTTCTAACGAATTCCCGTCTGGATTTTATGATTTCTAGTACACAACTGATTAAAGACAACAACAAAAAAATAAAATTCGATAAATAATTATTAAACATAGGAAATAAAAGTTGACCAGAGCTCCTGTTTCTTAGATTGACAGGTTGAGTTTATGATACTTGTTAAAGGAGGCTTCATTGCTATCATATATTTTGAATTGTTCTCTTGGCCATTTTAGAGGCTTTTAAATCTGGGAGCAATGCACTGTGGTAGGGTTTGGGATGACTGAAAGATAGGCCTTTCTTTTGTGAAATGGAAGAAAAGAAATTTTGAAAGAGAAGTTGATCTTGATTTCAGCAAGACCAGTTTTAGGAGCAGATACACCTGGAATTTGAGGATCTGAATATTGATTCCCTTAAAGCACATGTATCCCTTGGAAAGTCATCATCTACTCCCAGGAGCCTTTGACACCCAGTTTAAAGACCTAGTGTATTAGAGCCTATTGTCTCTTTGAAATTCTCAGCTATAAATTACTACATGCCTGGAGCCCAGAGCGAATCCCTACACTTTTTCCTATAGATGACACAGTCCTTAATGATTAAAAAAAAAAAGAAAGAAAATTTATTAGATTTCACTATATCATTGAGAATGTCTACTTAATAATGCACTTTTGTTAGTTTAAAATATTCTCTAATTTCTATTTGTTGATATATCTAAAATGCATTCTTTTTAGTCTGTAGGTTGATAAATTGCTAAGAAATCATCCTTTTATTTGTGAGTCTGATTTTATTTTCTATATATTTACTTCTACCTTTCATTGACTTTTATGTTGTTTGTCATGCTTTGTTCTCTGTTCTTTGTGTTACCTTCTGGTTTTTGATTTGCAAGGAATCCAATTTTCTATGTTCTTTCTTCCCTTTCTTTAGGGGTCTGAAAGTTGAGCATTCTTATTGTTTTACCAGAAGTTCTTTAAATTTTTAGCAAACATACCGACATATTTTCTTACCAATTTCAAAAATTATCTTTACTTCCCCTTCCTGAAGAATATCAAGCCATTTGGCATACTGTTCCTTACTTTCTCCCTCCGCTCATCCCCATTCCCCAAACTGATGGGACTCACCTGGGGTTTTAACTTTAGAGTCCATTAATTTTTATTTATCTTCAAATTATGCCTATTTGAAATTCAAATTGCTTTACATTACACATCCACATTATCAACAATTATTTCCCTCCTAAAAAAGGTTAATAAAATATCAACAATCTCTGGAAATTCTAAGAAAAAGGAGAGAGAATACAAGCAAACATTAGAGAAAAGAAAAGGAATATAAGCACAGGTCTGCAGAAGGCTAAATAACTTGTAGAAGAATTCTGTGAACTACTTTTAGCTAATAAATTTAGAAATCTAGATGAGATGGACAATTATCTAGGAAGCTGTACATTTTCAACAAAAATATATCTGTGAAAATTGATAGAAAACCCAAATAGATTAACGACCATGGAATAAATGACTCTGATGTTTTGCTGGAGAGTTTTGACTAATCTTCAAGGCACAGATCATTCCTGAGTTATATAAATTTTTGTAGAGCAAAAAAGATGGAAATCTTTCCATTCATTTTCTGAGGTTAATAGAACTTGATTTCAAGACTAGACAAGTACTCACAAACACGCACATACACATACAGAAAACTATACCCCAATCTCATGAATCTGCATACAAAAATTCTAAACAAAATATTAGCAAATTTAATCCT